CCGAGGACCGCCATCAGTCAGTGCTGTTTACCGATGAAAACAATTTCACAACCACCACCAGCATCACAATCACCAGAATGATCGGCAGTTGCTTCCTTCTTCTTCTTCCTCGCATTTCAAGCTTATATGCGTATGGCATATTAACTTATTACGTGCTCTCAACTTAGTGTTCTAGATGCACTTCCACAGTTATTAATTGAGAGCTTTCGATGCCTGTACCATTTTTGCATTAGTATCATTGTGTGGCAAGTACAATCATACTCTATGCCCGATAAATTTTCCAACCCGAAAAATTCCTAGACCGGGCCGGGAATCGAACCCTGCCACCTCCAGCATGGTCTTGCTTTGTAGCTGTGCCTTTACCGACTGAGCTAATAGAGGTCCCAGTTGCTTCCTGTTACTTCTAAAAATCGAGGAAGTATTTCAAGGAGTCATCATCCCGCCTTCGTCATGGTTTAGGCTGGAAGAACTCACACCTGCAAAACCCCGTTGATGTTCATAGACAAAGGGGTTAAAGTGAACCAAGCAGTGTATCAGAAGCTATTGACTGACTCAGTAGCTCCCTGGGCATCACAGCATTTTGGCAAGAACAATTGGATTTTTCAGCAAGACTGGGCGCCGGTTCATGGGGTAAAACAGACTATTAGTCTCTGCGAACGCCTTTTTCCGAACTCTTTGACGAAAGAGGAATGGCCTTCCAACTCATCGGATTTGAATCCAACGGCCTATTCGGTATGATCTATCTTGGAGTCAAGAGCCTGCAGAACCTCGCATAAATCACTGGAACATTTGAATGTATCTCTTCTAAAGGTTTGGGAAGAAATATCCAAAGAAGAACTTGTGGCTATCGTGGATAACTTCCCGAAACGTTTAAAGGTGTTTATCTCAGCTCGGGGCGGCCATTTTGAAATGAACAAATAAGACTGTTTTCTCCTATAAATATTGCTATAATAAACAATGCAGGGGAAATGGCTCTAATGTTAACCTATGGATCTATGATTGGGCCCATCGCTAAATATCTGCTATTTATCAATTTTATCTAGATGAACGCGTCATTGAGATCGTACTAATGAATATTTTTAATCGCTATTGAAAAATTAGTCGATTGCTGAATTGCATTTAGGGGCATTTAGGCCGACATTTCATCCTATTTTTCATATATTAATTTTTTAAGTTGTCAATAAAAGTGATTATTTCAACACCATTTTGTTGTACGGATTATATTCGGCCATTCCATAGCAAAACGATTCTCACAATTTCGTAAAAATTGGTAGTTTTGTTTCATATCGCATCATATTAGACCAGTACTTTTTAAATTTGTCATTAGGGTTACCATTTCCATGTTAGGTTGGTCAAAAATTGTTTTTTTCAAATGACTTCAAAAATTTATAAGTTTTGAACCACTGGGCCGATTTCAAAGATCAAAATATCAAATGAAATGTTATAATATTTAAAATTGGGATTTTGCATTGAATTTTTTTTTTTATGGCTTGAATAGTTTTTATAGAGAGGGCGCAATATGTTTTCATATTTTTCCATGAAAATTTAGGCTTTAGCATATCAAAAAATAATGTATGAGTTTTTTTTCGTTTTTCAGTTATATTTTTTATAAGTTATCAAGTTTTGGGTTTTCGCTCAATACTCCTAAGCGACTAAACTTCCATACATCTCCATTGGTTTATAGCTACTGTAGCATGGTCACGACGCATGGTAGTCTAGTCGCATAGTACAAACTTGTTGTGCGTTGATCCAAGACGTTTCAAATTATGACAATACAAAGCTTTGCATAAGTAGAATCAAATGTAATCATTGGATTGATGCTTGATGATCTTTTGTTGAGATTGATTTGAAGTTGAAAACACAATTTGGGAAGACTTGGTAATACTTGAACGCGGAATGTGTGTGGCATTGCATATCGAAAAGGAATGCAGGGATCTAATCTCCTCAAATATTTCAAAATGTGTTTTAAGGCATGTCAGACCTATGCTTTCAAGAATTTATGTGTGTTGCAAGATATTTTAATTTATAGCTGCGAAAATTAGCACCAAACCTTAGAGGCCCTGTTGTCAAAATGGTTAAAACTACTCTGATTTTACTAAGTTTTTAAGATGGATGAAATGCATGTTACCATTTTTTCTTGAAATGAAACATACGCACAACGAAATTTCAAGATGCCGAAAAAATATAACATCGCTAAACATTACTGCGTGTAGGGATAGGGTGCCAAATAGAAACAGTTTGCCGACAATAGGCACATTCTGGGAAATTTAAAGCGTTGTAAAAAAGGGTTTTACAATAGTTTTTGGTGATTCTTTACATACATTGTATGTGTACGTTTCGAAGAGAAAATCCCCACAGAATGGCGCATGCTGTTTATATTGATGAGAATACGTAAAATCCCTTAAATAAAGGTAAAATCTCACCATCTCACTTGGCTTATAGGCTTGCTGCTTCAATGTTTTTGCGAATTCTTAAACTGTGTTGTTTTTCATCCTCGTGGTAGATGTGTTTTTTGGTTGCAAATATAAAAAAGTTAGTCATTATGCACAACCGTAGAAAACTTTAGGAGAAGTGCACCTATTTTGGCCACATCTCAGAAAATCGAATGGATTACAATATTCGTGCATTTTGTGTTCGAAATTGATCAAAACTCAGTGTCAACATTTCAAAGGGGCGTAATTGCTTGTGTAAACAATGGCTTGAGCTATCGATTTCTCGCAAATAAAAGCTCATCCCTTCAAATTAACTATGCTTGCTGGTAAAGGAAACATTCTTCTACCTGCTGGTGTTATTAAGCTTTATGAGTATTCTTTTATTAGCGAGAAATCGATGGCTAAAGCCATTGTTTACAAATGCAATTACGCCCCTTTGAAATGTTGACACTGAACTGAACATTTCAAATTGTAAACAATGTGAAATATCGTCAAAAGGTGGCCAAAATAGGAACATTTCCAATACTGGTGCGTTTCCCCTATTATATTTTGATATAAATATGCACTTCTTACTGACCTAAACCGTTTTTAATGGAACAAATATCTGCCTTCAACTAAATGTTCGTTTCAAACATTTTCTGAGTTGTAAATTGAAAAATGGAGCATTAATGTCGCGTAAATTAATAAGTTCAGCTTCCGTTTCAGTTATTTTCTCGATAGGTTTCAGTTGAATACCTCTCATCGATGGAATTTGATAGCTATAATAAGAATCATCAACCCAACTTATTTTGAGATCCATGTGTATTATTCTTCCAGATCTAACCAAACATTGCTTTTCCTCCATCTATCGCCGGGATGTGTCTGTGCCCAAGAAAGGCGCTAAGCGACTTAGTATAGGTCATTAACCAGTGCTTACTCGTCCCCAAAGGGTTGTCGTTCCTTCTAGCGGGAACAATTTGTTGCGCGCGTCAAGCCTAATCGATTATAGGTGAAAGCAGAAAAAAGCTGTAGGATCAACACTTTTTCTTTCATTGCTTGGAGGTGTACGGTGAGATGTTACACAGTAATAAGCCGATTTTACCAGCCCCTCCGTGCATTAGACTTTTATCTTCCCATTATTTTATCAATCCACATAATTCTCATTCATCTTCAAGTTGGATGTTTAAGATATACTTTGGTGCAATAAGTGGGTTCCGTAGAATATTTGAAAAGATTTTCAAACGGGGCGCTGACAAAATCGGGTCATCACTGTAGGACGTTCGCCAGACGCCAGACACCAGCTTGTAATTGTTTAATGCGTATGGCTTCCGCCGAAGGGAGGATGACGAGATTGACGGTGCGTTCTCATAGTCAGCAGTATCTAGTTTTTTTTACCGTCAGGGTTCTACTTATTAATTAGAATCTAATTACGCGAACAAATGCTGTCAGAGGGTAGTGACACTTTGGTTCTGAAGAAATGAGTACTTGGCGCTAGAAGGTGCGAAGAAGCTGCCAAGCGGAAATCATAAATGCTTCTTGTGATCTTTTTCTTGCGTTTCTCCGCTTTCTACGCATATCTCAGATGGTCTCGACCATTGCAACACAGGTAGAAGGGAAGTGGACGTTAATCTACGCTTTGAATCAGCTAACATGGGGCTTTGGGTGGGAGAAAGACATAGAAGTACGATCGCAATAAACAGTAATAACATATGATGAACATTACTTTTCATAACTCGAAGAACTGAACGCGTTTGAATGCGATCTTTCGAAGCCTAAAGGCTATAATTGTGTCGTTTATTATAACTATTATTAATGCTATTATTGTTTTCGCAGGAATCTCCGACGCGCGCGCCTATATGTTCCACACTACATTCAATAGCCTTATTATTTCGCTGAGATAGATCGGAAAACATGGGCACCAGTAAAAAAGTATTGTAAATATTATGACGGTACTAACAATAACCTGCATCTGATAAGCTTATTTTCGTGTACCAGTCGTCTTCTTAGTTGGTTGCATATGCGCAAGCGCGCGTGTACTAATGCTGTCTCCAGGTGCCATGCTGAACTTCGCAAGCGCACACGTGAAATATGTGGCTGCTAGGTGCATTCACTATCGAGGAATTTCGATCAGTTCCGTTTTGCAATGTGCTTCCTATAGTTGATATTTGTCTATGGTCGTACACCCCAAGAGCATTTTAACCAAACCGAAACACCAGACGGGTTTGATTACCAAGAAAACATAGTTTCAGTAATAATGATTACATAGCAAGAATCGTAAAATGTTCAAACATGATCTAAAAGGTACCCAGCAAGATCTAGTGATTTATTTTGATGATTTGTCATGTTAACATGACATGATGACGAAATTATCAGAATCAAAATTTTACAGAGAATTTTCTGGTGACAAGCAGAAACTTGCTTTTGTTGGATTTCCCGTGGTTACATAGTCTATGAAACGATTTCAATCTAGATTTGAGCACCCGTGTGACATGTGCAAAAGAGCGAATAGCATTATGACATCTCGTTGACAGGAGAGGAAACTTGTCAGCCTTATCTAGATTGCGGCTGTAGATTCTAGATTTCACTTACCTTATTGTTATTTGTTTATTGTGTCAACACAAAGCAACGTTCGTAACTGTAAAAAAAAAGATAAAGAAAACAAAATATAAGTAAATTATCTTATGCTCTCCACTGGAGTTAAGCAACGAAGAGCAATCGCTAAGGACGATAAAGTGCTAGAATTAACAGGTTGTAAATCATTGTACCGAAGCAGCGGGTTTTTGCAGCCCCATAAATCTCGTGGTGAATTGCTGTGCGATCGATCGATTTGTTGTGAAACAGATACCCGGAAGGCAGTGTTCGGCTTGCGCACCATTCCCGACATTTCGGTAAAGAGAGCATTTAATCAAAATTGCCTTATCATCACTGCGGGTCGTGAGTTTCGTTCAACGGAACCTGCGCCCGGATGCTTTCGGGGCACTCTCTTGCTGTGATTTATTTCAGTTGAATCCATAAATCAACGCTGAGTCATGGGTTTCAGTAAGAATTTTCTCCGACGCCAGAACAACAATGGCTGGGTAAAGGCTGTGGCGTAGTGATACACTTGAAATTTCGGTTTGTTTCCAATGCACCGACAGTCGGTGGCCATAATTGGTTTGTTGCCATGTTTGTCGGGTTTGATTGCTTCATTCAGTTGGACAACGCTATCTATAAACATAAATTTATGAGTACCTCATTGTGTCCATCAAGTCTCAAGAGGGGTTTCATTCTTCGGTGGGCTCATTTATCTCAATTGAAGAGTACTATTCAAGCAAATACAAACAAAGTTATTGGAATTGTGGTTTCAGACAAGAGATGTGGTAAACCATCGTTTTTTTATCCTTGGTAGTTAGCAAGAATGTGTTGATTGGTTGAATTGTGTTTTGGATTCAAGATTAATATTACGCAATTGAAGAATTTTGTTTTGCAAATGCCAGTATTGGATTACAGTTACATAACTCGATAAATGACAACAAGAAACCGCAATTTGCCTGACAAATTGTATGGGAGAGAAAATTGTATAATGATCAATAAATTCATTGCACTTGGAATCTCACTCACACTCACGAGAAAGGGTGTAAAAGCCCATGAGAAAGAGACAATTTATTGACTGTTACCCTCCTACCGGACGGACGGACGGACGACAACGGTGGTGCGAAGCAGAGTCATGGTGGTGCCATTTATGCCAGAGGAAATCGACAGATCAGAGAGAAGCGCATAAATAAAGAATTAATTAAAATGCTTTACTCTTATGTTGACCGAGCGCGGACTGCCTGATGGAGTAGTGTTCAGTGCGTTCCAAGCACTTGCTGGTGTGTGGCTTCTTGGAGTAATTGGATCTGTGACAGCTTTTCCAACTTTTCAGTCTGATACAATTCAGTTTAATTATAGCTTGTAGGTTCCATTTAAGCGTTTTTATGCGTAAACAATGGGATAGGTTCTGTGCTCCAAAACTGGACATGATTTGACTATTTATTTTCGAATATCATGGGACAAATTTACTGAAGTAGAGTTAAAGTAACACTACACATTTAGAAAAATTCATGTAAATGTTGGTGCTCTGAGACTGACATATACGAGCGTCAATTTTTGCATAAAATTCTGCGCGAAATTCAGCTCAATCAAACGTACTTTTCGTCGAGTAACGAACTTTTCAGTCTCCGAGCACTTAATTTTACATGACATGTTTGTTTACGTGTCATCCTTTATGCCAAAGATGGATTCCGTCTCGTGTAAAATTAGGTATTTCTAAGAGTGTAACATGAGTTTTTTTTACTATTGAGTATTGCATGTTTTCAGGCTCTTCTCCAGTAATTAACTTTATCTTTAAAAAAATACTACATCTTTTAACAGTTCTACTACTGAACCAGCAAAATGCTTGTCAAAGAAGTAATGTTTCTTTTATAGTAGAATTCATTAGACACCAATGGCTTCCACTTTTATAGTAAATCAAAATAAGTTAACCCGTTTGCACAGAATTTAATTTTTCATACAAATATCGTTATTAAAATACAATTTAAACGAATACAAAAAATAAGTTTAATAGGGGAAATGGCTCTAATGTTGGCCTATGGATCTAAGATTGGGCCCATCGCTAAAAATCTGCCATTTATCAATTTTATCTAGATGAACGCGTCATTGGGGCGGTACTAATGGATATTTTTGGTCACTATTGAAAATTTAGTCGATTGCTAAATTTATGTATGGGCCCAAATTAAGGGCATTTAGGCCATTTCCCCTACCTTGTCTCAAAAGCAAAAACAGCCTTGATATCTTCAACATTACTTTCAAAATCGCTATTATTTTGACAACCACAAAAATGGTTACAAAAAGGTCCAAATGATGTTATCTAAATGTTTCTAACGCGCCAAAATGCCTTAACAAACAAAATTACGCAAATTTCCTTACAACCATCTTTTAAATAACAAATGATGGTATTCTGGCAAAACAAAAAAACGACAGTTATTATAACTAAATTATTTGTTAGCTCGTTATTCGTAGAACATTTTTGAGGTATTATTTTTTGGTATTTTACCCTTATGTAAGGCTCGTCAATACCATGTTTAGGTTGCCAGTTAAAATTAGCTTCTCTTTTTTTGTGAATAAGAATGAGTTTAAACAAAAGGATCTTCTTTTGTAAACAAGGAATTAAACGTTAATTTGTCGGATTTTATTACAGCTTTGTAAACTAAATTCACCGAATCTGCGAGAAACCGCGACATGAACAGATCCTGTAATGTCGGAAGTTTTTCCCAATATTTTTTGACTTGTGACTTGTCCAGGGGTTGGATTTGAACTCGTTTCTTTGGCGTGAGAGGTATGGATGTCAACCACTAGTGCAGGATCGTCCCTCTGTCCCAATATTAATACTTAATTAATTAATTAATTAGTTAATTAATCTTAGTTAATCTAATAATCAAAGAAATTGCCCCTGGAAAAAAATACCAGTTCACAACAAGCTGTTGTAAAAACATCCATTACATATCTCGTAAGAAACATATATAGAGGGTGTTTGAAATTCATGATTACACCCTTTGAATACACAAGAAAACACCAAAAATGGGTTTTTGCTGTTTTTTTTAAAATTATGTAATATGTTAAATTCAAGTGACGTTTAATTTAACATGCATGTAAATTTCAAGTCGTGTAAATTTAAAAACCAATTTAATTTTACATGAATATGCATGCTGAAATTCGTGTAAAATTACAAAATAATTTTGACTGTGTCGTGTTCGTGTTCGTGTAATTTTACACGAATTTCCATGCATATAAAAAAGAGCATGCATATTCATGTAAAATTAAATTGGTTTTTAAATTAACACGACTTGAAATTTACATGCATGTTAAATTAAACGTCACTTGAATTTGTCATACACACTTAGAAAAAATCATGTAAATTTTAGGTGCTGTGAGAGTGACATATACGAGCGTCAATTTTGACATAAATTAGAGTCATAATTCGCGTCTGTTATATAGCTCAATCAAACGTACTTTTCGTCGAGCAACGAACTTTTCAGTCTTGGAGCACTTAATATTACATGGCATGTTTGTTTACGTTTCATCTTTTATGTCAAAGATGGATTCCGTCACGTGTAAAATTAGGTATTTCTAAGTGTGATGGATATTATATACGCTTTTAATTTTACTAAAATCTGAAAAAAAAATTGAAAAAACTACATGCGAGTTACAGCTTTTTGAACAATCCAACTTCCACTGACTATCACTGGTACACACTTAGAAATAACTAATTTTACACGTGACGGAATCCATCTTTGATATAAAAGATGAGACGTAAACAAGACTGAAAAGTTCGAAAGTACGTTTGATTGAGCTGAATTTCGCATCTATTATGACTCAATTTTATGTCAAAATTGACGCTGGTATATGTCAGTCTCAGAGCACCTAAATTTACATAAATTTTTCTAAGTGTGATGCTTTGACTACAATTGAGCAGCATTTTAGCACATTTAGTTTATTGTTTTTAATTAAATTCCAGTTTCAAAAAGAATATACCAGAAAGAGTAGATTTACTAACTATGCTCAAACCTAATACAGATTATGTTAATCAAGCTTAAAGTTTTACCAATAAATCTTGGATACCTGATCAACTAGCAGCCAAGGTTTTAGAAAATTTCATTCACATTCGGAAAAGTTACAGCACTTTGGACTTTTTTGGAGAGAAAATAAAAATAGCGAGGTGGTATACATTTTGTCTGGTACTGTACACACATCCATATTCATCGGCTTTTAGAAAATTCACAGTATACGTCCTTAAGTGAAGATATTTTGGCGAGCATCAGGCGTCTTATATCTAGTTGTACATTTCTAAAGACCCTCCTGACTGCATTGATGAATGCTCGTCGTCGACTATCTCTTTCCTTAATAAGGCCGATGAAAACATTATTTTCATTTTATGTCCGACAACACTCATAACAAATAAATAAGGAAGGAAAATATATATCTTCTTGTCAAAATTAAATATTTCATCTAAAAATAAATGGATTTTAGCTAATACTCTAGATATGGTAGTATAACTGTCTCATATTAATAAAATACCATTAATGACATAATTCTCTAAACAGGGTTAATGTATCAAATGTCGACCTAACTGTCCGTTAGAACAATACATACATTTCGAAGGAATGCATTTTTTGACAACTAGCAACCAAAAATATCCGATTGTTTTGACCAGATTTCCGGTCCGGTCTAGAAATTTTTTTGGGTTGAAACAAAATTCTCGACTTTCCTGGCCATAGAGTATGATTGTATTGGCCACACAATACATACTTATGCATAAATGGTATAGGCATAGAACGCTCTTTAGATCCAACATGAGAGCCATTTCCTCAATCAATAATTTTTTGCTCCTTCAATAGTGTATAATTTTTAAAGATGGAGGTGACATAAAAAAAAAAAAAAATCGCTTCAGCCTAACTTAAATATTACTGGGGAAAATTGCGATATTTGCTTAGATTCTGTTGATTTGTTGGTATTTTTTGTTTCCCAAGTTCTGACAATATATGGGCAATATGGATGGTTTCCACATGTCTTGTATGGAGTATTTAAGGATTTGCAATGAACAAATGACCTGCAAACTGTCAT